TGATTAACATAACAATAAAAATTTAAAAAAAAAATTAGAAATGAAAGAGGGGACATTACAACCCATGCCACAAAAATCAAAAAGGAAAAAAAAAAAATACTATTAACAATTGTATGCCAACAAACTGTATAACTTAGAATAAATTCAAAAAAAAAATAAAGATTAAAAGCAAATGAAGAAACTGAAGTACAGAAAAATTTAGTAACAAAAAAAAAAAAACTACCAAATCATAGAAAATAGGAATTAAAACTGAGTTTGCCCTACTTTAAAAAAAAAAATCTTTCTACTAAAGAAGGCTGCTTTCTAAATCTATTAGTTCATGTGGTAGTAAATGTATCAAAAAAATTCCTCTAAAGTGAGAGCAGAAAAAGAAACTAATTTTTCCTTCTAAAAAAAAAAAAACCTCTTTGGTATCAGCTTGGATTCTACCATTTCCACCTGCAAGCAGACCGTTCTCCAGGCTAACTTTTAAGATGTAGAAACTTAGTATGTAAGGTGAGTACAAGTGAAAAAAAAAAAAAATATCTCTCTATTTTTCATTTTGGATTATCTCCCTTCTGGGTCCTGCAGAACCCTAGTCATGTGAGGACAAAGCCCCAGGCATGCACTCCAGGATTTTATTGGTTACTGGGAAAAAAAAAAAACTCCAAGAAAGCTATTAAGGTCGGACAACATGAACAACATCATCATCGCCAAGGCTCATACAAAACAGTCTGCTGGAAAACATACATCTGTCTGAAATGAGACCTCTCTGAAAAAAAAAAAAGACAGAATCAGTAGCAGCAGTAGATAAGACATGTTATAAATCCTGCTCTGCAAAAAAAAAATTCCCTTGACTTCAGTTTCCTCATCAGTAAAACAGAGACAACCATCCCTGTTGCACTGAATTGTATCTACAGAATGAGATGATGTATGTAAAGTACTTCATGCTCAGCAAGCAAAAAAAAAACTCTGTGGATAACACGGTCATCCTCACCAATGCATTCAGCACACAGCTGTACAGGTTGGCCCTCTCTTTGCAGCACTGATATTATTTTAGAGATTAGGTTTCTTCCTAATTTTACCTTCAGATCCTCTCTCCACTCATTCATACCATAGCTTTTAGAAATTTCTGGTTGGAAAATCTGCATTTTTGCCATGGATGTAGCCAGACGAGTTAAAGATTGACGACCACTGCCTCCAAGCCCAACAAGCAAAGCATTTCCACCAGACTGCTTTAGAATTCGACATATACGTGATAAATGAAAAAAAAAATACCTACGAAATATCAATATTATTATACTTGAAAATATGAACGTAAACGTATATTTACATGTAACTATTATTTTATATTCTTGGAAGGATTGACTTTGCTATCCCATATGTTATCCCAATTTTAAAGATGTAATCATCAAAAAGTGTGGTTTTTCAAAAGAAATTACAACCGGATCACTGATGCAAAGGAAAACTAAAGTACAAATTCAGGAAATATAATATACAAATTATAGAAAAAAAAAAATAACTACCTATACTGAAGCATATTCCTGCTTTTATTAAAAACATTTCTTCAATCTTTTAATACTAGGATTTCTATGTGAGAAACAGAAAATCAGTTCTCTACAAAATTAACAAATTCAGCAAAGACACCAAGCCTCACTAGTAATTAGGGAAATTAAAATTGGAGCCACATTTCTACTCTCCTTTAGACTGGCAAAACTTACCAAGCCTGGCAATCCTAAGTGTTGGCAAGGGTAAAAAAAAAAGGGAGCTCTTAAATAATCATTTTTGAAGACACTTCAGCCAAACTTAGTAAAAAAAAAAAAACTTACCTACCATGACACAATAATTCCACTTTTAGGAATATAGCCTAGAGAAAAAAAAAAAAGGGTACCCAAAGAGACATGAATAGTCAAACCTTTTTTTATAACTGCAAAAATTAGAAGTCACCTAAAAGTCTGTCTCAGAAAAATGACTACATTGTGTTAGTAGCAAAAACTCATTTTTTGTGACTCTCATGAATAGGGAATAAACTTGAAGAATACATGTAAAATAAGACTGAAAAAAAAAATTTTGGAATGCACATGTGTAGTAAAGTCCAAAGAAGCACATGAGTTTCTTTAAAAAAAAAAGGGTATGATGGGGATATAGTCAGAGAGGGTTGGCTACACAGGGACTTCAAATAAATTGCTAATATTTTATATCTTAAGCTGGGTGATCAGTATAGAGTTATTCACCATATTTTTCTTTATACCTTTTGCCACATTTTAAATATTTCACAGAAAAATTTTACAAAGAGCAATTTAAAAAAAAAATACCAAATGTAGGTACCTAAAAATGACAAGATTCATTCTTGTTTTGTGAGTAAAAAAAAAATCATCTAAGCATTGGTCCACAATGTCACTAAAATGATGAATATTTGGAATTAAAAAAAAAACTCTGTCATCTCCTTCAAGGTCGGGATTCATATAATCGCCAAACATGAGATAAAAAAAAAACTCTTCAGTTATCTATAGAATGGAAATCAACAAGTTACAAAATTTACAATTTATAAAATAAATTTGAGAAAATGTTATATAAAATTTTGTTTTGTCCATGTTATGGGATGATTATCAAATAATTCTTTTAAACATTAAGGTAGTAAATAACATGCTGGTAAAATTAATACCTGAAAAAAAAAAATATCCTCCAAAAATAAAAAGAACAGAAATTTTTCTGTCATATAAATTTTTAAAAAAAAAACCTGGAAAAGTCATTCTGAGTGAGTAATTACTAAGGGATGGTCACCATGTTAAAAAAAAAACATTCATTATACCATTTAATCCCTATCATATAAGGTTTTATTCTTTTTTTAAAAAAAAAAATTTATTTATTATTTATTTGAGAGAGAGAGAGAGAGAGTGAGAGAGAGATAGAAAAAAAAAAGGCAACCGGAGTGGGGGGGCAGAGGGAGAGAGACAAGCAAACTCTGTACTGAAAAAAAAAACCGACATAGGACTCGATCTCACGGCCAGAGATCATGATCTGAGCCAAAATCAAGAGATGGTTGCTCAACTGACTGAGCCACCCAGGCGCCCCCAAGGTTTTATTCTTTAAATAAAAAAAAAATTACCTACATAATTCCTCTGAAGACAAATCTTCTCAAAATAAATACCTATCAAAAAAAAAAGTTAAAAAAAATATGATTGTTAAGAAGCAAGAGTATTTTTTAAAGATAAGTAAAAAAAAAAAATCCATGCTATTGTACAATTTTAATTTGTTTAGAATCACTAAATATACTCAAAAAAAAAATCTCCTTCCTCAAATGTGAAAAGATACCATCAAAAGATTCTTTAAAATGGTCCCTTATCACAGCTTTGATTAAATTGAACAGCCAGTATCGATCATTATCATTAATGAGGCGAAAAAAAAAAACACGGAGAACCTCATGTACGAACAGGCGGATCATGGTGTGCTTGCTCTCCAAAAAAAAAATCTCAATGAGTAAGCAGCCCTGGATGACACGTGAAAAATCCCGCAAGTTGAAAGTGTAATGAGATTTCATGGGAGTGGGCAAAAGATTTTCCATGGATCGTTTGTATATCTGAAAAAAAAAAAAGCAACAAAGCAAAAATAAAATTATTATAAGCAAAGTCATGTAACAAATAAAAAAAAAAATAAAATATTTATCTTATCAGATTATATTGGTTTGGAAAATTGTACAGTACAAAAAAAAAAATGACATTTAGCTTTTTATTTTGGTTTATCACAGGCATTTTGAAGTTGAGGGAACTTAAAATTATCAGATTCCATCCAAACCCAAGGACAATGTTTTTATCTCCAAGTTATTAAAAAAAAAAAATTTAAAGTTGAATGACCCGGGATTCAATAATTAGCAAAAACTTTAGTGGAAAGTGAAACCAAGATAACTCATTCCGAAGCATTTCAAATGAAGGGTCGGATGAAACAATTTCCTTTTGACTACCCTTGACTTCAAAACAAATCAATGGATTCTCTTCCTTCTCTTCACTCCTATTTTCTCTCTGCCTCTTCTTCAGCTTTTTTTTTATTCTTTTTTTTTCTTTTATCGGTATCCCAGGCATGTATGCCTGCTAAAACCTCTTTTATTTTTTTGTACCAAAATCATTTGTAGTAAATTACCTTTCGTGTGCACAAAACCACTGGATTAGTGTATCAATATGGAATCACTAATAGAAAACTATGGCCAGAAGCACACCCTATATATAAATGAGAAATTCCTACCCAGGTTAATAAAAGCTATGCTTACAATTTAGTTAAAAAAATTGTAGTCAAAACAGGTTGTGGGAGAAGTTACAGTAAAAAAAAAACTTGGTATCATGTACACACAAGCAAATAGTGGCAATTCAGTCTGGTTACCAAAAAAAAAAAGAAGCGTGGTAAGCAGAAACCGGCTACCACACGCCAAAACACAGTACAACAAAAAAAAAAATACCTTAACAAGCAAGGAGGAATAATCAGGGAGGAAGGGCAAATGGGTCCTTCACTCTGGGAGACAGTGGCTAAGGACATTTTACACTTGTTTGTAAGTTTCTTATAATGGAAAAAAAAAAAGTGAAAGGGCTGGCAGTTTTTCAAAATGCAAGGTTCAGAATACTATTGCACAAAAAAAAAAAAGAGCCCACAAGTTCTGCCAACAGTTAAACGTGAAATTTTGTGTCACAATAAAAAAAAAAAAGAAACTTGGGTCCTTTATATTTGAACATATGCATGGCTTGACAAATCTAAAAAAAAAAATTCTAAAAACTTTTTTTTTTTTTAAGATTTTATTTATTTGACAGAGAGATAAAAAAAAAAAGAGGGAACACAAGCAGGGAGAGAGGGAGAGGGAGAAGTAGGCTTCCTGCGAAAAAAAAAAATGATGCGGGGCTCGATCCCAGGACCCTGGGATCATGACCTAAGCTGAAGGCAAAAAAAAAACAACTGAGCCACCCAGGCAACCCTGAAAACCATTTTTTTTATTAGCTGTTTTACTTGTGTTATTTTGAATACTGCCACAAAGAACTAAAAATCTCTGTCATTTCTTTTTTTTAAAAAAAAAATCATTTCTTAAAGAGTTTAAACAATTGGCTATAATACAGAAATAAAGTATGATTTTACTATATCCTGAATTTACCAAATAAAGTTTAATATTTTCTTTAAGGACAGTAAATGAAAAAAAAAATAATATAGCCCCCCCCCAAAAAATGAAATTATTTTGTATTTATCTGTGTTCAAAAAAAAAACCCCCCTCCTAGCTTCCACATGGTAGGTCTAAAAGGCTTCAAAGACAGAAAAAAAAAAAAATTTCTGTATCCCATTCTGTTTGGCCAACTCCCTTCTTTTTCCAGGAGATGCAAAAAAAAAATAAATCATATTTTATAAATAGAAGCACTTTTCTGGTATCAGAATAAGTACTGTAATTTCAATGTACTATCACTTTGGTCATAGTTTCTCTATTTTAACAGCACAGATTTTCCAAAAAAAAAAGGGGGACACTTTAGATATAGTGTGCTCTTGGAAACCAATGGGATGATCCTAAAAAAAAAAATACTTCTCATTGCACTTATGCCACAGTGAACCCACTTTATCAAGGGCTCCAGAAAAGCTTAATTTAGTAATATCATCACTCACTTACCTTACATACAGTTTCTCCTTTTATCAAAAAAAAAAAGGTTGGTTCTGGCCTCCAGAGCAATGGCAGATAACACACCCTGAATAAGGCAAAGCCATTGGGCCATCTTGTGTTCTGTTCCCACCCCTGTGTTTCCTTCTTACTATATTTTCACTGCCATTCCTAAGTTATGTGGTATGGCTAAAAAAAAAGCATTCATAAGCTGCAGAAGAAAAAAAAAATATTTTTTTTAATATTTGTTTATTTATTTATTTTTAAAGTAGGCTCCACACAAAAAAAAAAGCTCAAGCTCATGACCCCAAGATCAAGAGTTGCATGCTCTACCAACTGAGCCAGCCAGATGCCCCTTTCTCTGTCTTTTAAAAGACAAACATGGAGAATGGAAGGGAAGAGAGAGAAAATTAATAAACAACAGGGTAGAAACCTAACAATTAGGGAAACCCTCGTAATGTGGCAAAAAAAAAATCTAAATGATTTCCTTGGAACAGCCTTGTGAAATAGGTGCTATCTTTCATTAAAAAAAAAAAAAAATTGAGTTTCTGGAAAGTCAAATTACTTGCTCTAGGCCACATAGCTTGGAAATAGCAGTCAAGGCTCAAACCCAGAGTCCCTGATTTCAAAGCCCATGATCTTCTGTTCTCAAGGCTTCTTAACAGCTTCTCTGACACTGAAGACCAAAGTAGATGACTAAGGGAAAAAAAAAAAAAAAAAAAAAAAAAAAAAGAACCAAACTAGGAAAATATGTAACACTAAAACATTTAAAAAAAAAAGATTTTATTTATTTATTTGGGAGAGAGAGAATGAGAGATGGAGAGCACGAGAAAAAAAAAAGTCAGAGGGAGAAGCAGACTCCCTGCCGAGCAGGGAGCCCGATGCGGGACTAAAAAAAAAAACTCCAGGATCATGACCTGAGCCGAAGGCAGTCGCTGAACCAACTGAGCCACCCAGGCACCCTAAAACATTTTGTATCACAGTATTCACTCACCTCCATTGTCCCACTGACAATCTGGTTCCCAATTGAAAAGTACTCTGGAAGAAATTCCCGAGTCCTCAGGTAGAATGCTACAATTGATGAGAAGATTCGGACCATAGTTTCATCACTGAAAGTATTAATAGAGCAGATGTTAAAAAAAAAAATAAACCGGGGAGTGACTGGATTTCTTCCACCACCTGGAGGGCCCATGGCAAAAAAAAAAAGGATGTCAACCAGTGTGATTTTACTTGTGTCCTTAAGGTCATACCTTGAAAAAAAAAAAAAATTCCAAAGCAATCAGTTATAATCCAATAAGATGGAATGAAATGTAGAACTAAAAAAAAAATTAATCTGATTTTAGCTTCTCTAAAAGGAAGAATCCTAAAAAAATGCTTGGAGTAGAAAAATTAAAAATAAATTTTATTTTTTAAATTGAGGTATAATTGACAACATTAGTTTTGGGTGTATAACATAATGACTCGATATTTGTATATACTGTAAAATGATCACCACAGTAAGTCCAGTTAACATCTGTCACCATACACAGTGGCAATTTTTCTCGTGATGAGAACTTTCAAAATTCACTCTCTTAGCTGCTTTTGAATATGCAATACAGTATTAACTGTAATCACCATGCTGTAAAAAAAAAAACTACGACTTATTCATTTTACAACTGGAAATTTGTAATTTTGACCCCCCTCAAAAAAAAAAACCACCCCCCCACCCAGCCCCTGAGCCTCAGGCAATCACCAGTCTCTGGACAAAACGTTTTTGGTTTTGGGGGTGGGGGGGCTAGGGGGGAAAGGGAAGAGGAAGGAGAGAGAGAGAATCCTAAGCAGGCTCCGGTGTGGAGCCTGATGTGGGGCTCAATCTCACAACCCGGAGATCATGACCTGTCCTGAAATCAAGAGTCAGACGTTTAACTTCCTGAGTCATCCAGGTGCCCAAAAAAAAAACTTTTTTTTTCTTTTTAAGATTTTATTTACTTATTTATTTATTTGTCAGGGAAAAAAAAAAAGAGAGAGCACAAGCAGGGTAATGGGCAGAAGGAGAAGCAGGTTCCTCGCTGAGCAAGGAGCTCGATGTGGGACTCGATCCCAGGACCCTGGGATCATGACCCAAGCTGAAGGCAGACACTTAACCGACTGAGCCACCCAGGTGCCCCTGGACAGAACGTTTTTTAAAGCAGCATTCTATTTCTCCTTCCAGTGACACTGATTATGTTGTCCAAATTCTGGGTATTTAGAATGTCCCTTCCTTTTGCCCCTTTCTTTCCTACTCTTCTTCCCAATTTGACACTCTGCTTGGTCTCAAAAAAAAAAAAATCCAGAAGTATCGATGAGAGATTATTCCTATTTGTAGCTGGTTATAGGTAGGGTGACCATATGTCCCATTTTGCCTAGGACAATTCTGAGTAGGCTTGTCCTGGAGTAAAAAAAAAAAACACTCCTCTTTTATGCTCAGAAATGTTCCAGTTCAAACAATCATACAGTCATGCTACTTACAGGAAAGTCCTGATTTTGTTTTTGCATCTCAGATCTTCAGAGTACATAAAAAAAAAAAAAAAGTATCTATAACACTTTTGTTAAAAAGAGACCCAATGGGGAACAACAAAGCAAAAAAAAAATTTTAATTAGAAAGAAATATATAGGGGCGTCTGCCTTTGGTTCAGGTCATGATCACAGGGTTCCTGGATTGAGCCCCATGTCGGGCCCCCTGCTTAGCAAGGAGTCTGCTTCTCCTTGTCCTTCTGCCTCTCCCCCAGCTCATTCTCTCTCTCTCTCTCTCAAATAAATAAAGTTTTTTTAAAAAAAGAAAGAAATATATAAATAGCTCAGTTTAGTTGGAACCACTCAGATCGAAAAAAAAAATATTACTGATAGGCCATTAAGTCCTTTAACACTGAAGTTCTTGCAAAAAGGAAAAAAAAAACGTGAGAGAAATCAGTCTTTACCAGTATCCCTAACAGAAAGTATAAAAATAAAAAAAAAAATTTGGCAGCGACCCTAATAACTTTCAGTAGGGGGCTTGTTAAGTAAATTATAAAAAAAAAAACATATTTGAACTGTATTAGAAGTCAACAAAATGAGAAATAAAAAGCCAATAAAAAAAAAAAAACAATATGGATAGGTGTTCAAAAAATTTTAAGTGCAAATAAGTTATAAAACATTGTGTAATAGGAGTCTATTTTTAAAAATAAAGCTATATTTGCATAGAAAAAAACCTTAAAAAAAAAAGGAATACACAATTAACAGCAGTTACCTCCTGGAGGCCCGAGTCCCAGGGCCAAAAAAAAAAACAAAAATGTATTTCCAAAATATGACTTAGCTTCAAAATTAGTTTATCCTTGCCTTAGATAAAAAAAATCATGCATACTGGGGATTAGAAAAGTATATTTAAGAGGAGGAAAAAAAAAAAAATTAATCCTAACTAAAAGATACAATGTCTTACATGTTGGAAACTAACCATAGAAAAAAAAAAATGGGGTGGAGGGTGGGATGCCTGGGTGGCTCAGTCAATTCAGCATCCACTCTTGATTTTGGCTCAGGTCATGATCTCCTGGGTCATGAGATCTAGCCCTGCACTGGGCTCTGAACTCAGCAGGGAGTCTGCTTGAGATCCTCTCTCTCTGCCCCTCCCCCCACTGGCATGTACACACACTCTCTAAAATAAATAAATAAGTCTTTTTAAAAAATGGGATGGAGGGAATGGAAGAGTTATTTATGGAATTGGTGTCAAAACCAAGCTATCTCAAAGATATAGGTAGTCCCAAAGAAAAAAAAAAAATACAGAGAATTTAAAATGACAGAAACATGAGATGCTGATTATGGTTACTTAGGTTGAAGCCTACCCACAAATTCTCAGCCCTGGGAGAATAGTACTTTGAAAGATGTAATGTGTAAGTTATTTTCAAGGATTGAAAATAATAATTGAAAAGGAAAGAATTTATTCCATTACTAAAAAAAAAAATTTCCAATACTGGATTATTCATCCCAGTAATCTAACTCACACATTCACAGAAAAAAAAAACATAAAAAAAAGTATAGAAAAGTCTTCCAAAAATTTCTGTATAAAAAAATCAAAAAAAAAATTTTCTTCCATAAGTAACTTGAAAAAATGCATTACTTTGATGTGAGAAACTAAAAAAAAAAAAGAGAGCGAAAATGACTTCAGCATGGCTAATTAAGACTCCAGTTAAATAGAAAAAAAAAACCACAGTCAAAAAATTGTCGTAGTAATTCAATAGGAGGTTGAGCTCCGTATAAAAAAAAAACAGGCATATTCATGTCATCTATAAAAATTACACACTTCTTTCCCATAGGTGAAAAAAAAAATCCTTTGCGTCTTTTGTCCAATCTAGCCATGATAACATTCTAAAATATAAAGAAGAATAGTAGTATTTAAAGCCATACTTAACACCAGGGGGGAAAAAGAATTTACAGTCTAAAAAAAAAAAGAAATAATGCCAAGAAGCACTGTGTGTATGTTTATATTTATTCATTTTTAGGGTGATATCAAACCTTATATTCAGTATCAAAGAGCATTTATTGAAATCCTTCTATGTGCTCAAAAAAAAAACATATACATATTTATATATTTGTATTGCACATAAACACAAAATATTTTCCTAAAAAAAAAACCCAACATATCTATTAACTCTAACTTATCCAATACCTAAAAGCACTAATCTAAAAAAAAAAGATTTTGAAATATAGGCTTAAAACAACAGAAATGAGCCCCATAGGTCAGGTAAAAAAAAAAATAAATTTAGGCATGGATGATTATAATAGTGACTAGAAAAGGTCTCATGCAGAACTTTCAACTTGGCACAAAGAAGGGAATGCATAACTGCATGCTTCCTGTCACGTAAGGTAAAAAAAAAATCCATGGCTTGAATGATCATGGACAGAGCTTCAGTAAGCAGCAAATGCCCTAAAAAAAAAACTAGAAGAGTCTAGAAAGAACAATTGAAAGTTCTCACTCTCTCTCTCCCCCAAAAAAAAAATATCAATTGTGGCTTCTTCTTGGACTTAATAAAAAAAGGATGACAAAGCTCAAAAAAAAAATATTAATGCAAAAATATTCCCTTGAATGTGATTCCAACATTACCGTGCTCTAAAAAAAAAACAGTTAATTTGGGTGTCTTTTATCCTTTGTTTTTAAATAGGTATGTTTAAAAAAAAAAAAAATTATTTAATTTAATTTAATTAATTTAATTTATAATTATTTAATTAATAAAAAAAAAAAAATAAATTTTTTTCAGTGTTCTCTTGAACTTTTGTCCTTAAAACTTTTTAAAAACTTACTTATCCCAAAAACAAAAGTTCTGAAGTTTCATTTAAATTTATAGAAGACTTACACAAAAAAAAAATTAGTATACAATTTTAAACACTAATCAAATAAGGCAAAAAAGTTAATTATGGACCCATGTTTCTGGCTTTAAACTAACCTGAACCTGGTTGGCACTGGTCCGTGCAGAGAAAAAAAAAAAAAAAGGGAAATACTGGTCCTTTTCCAAGTGATTCATTAGTTTATCCTTCACATAAAAAAAAAATCCTGTACCCGTCGGACCCACGAAAAGCAATGGCCTTCATGAAACAATGAACATATTAAAAAAGAGAAAAAGTCAGAATACCATTTCTACTACAGAAGGCTGGAATTTGTTGAAAACTTAAGTAATGAAATCACCTTCATCTAAAAATTCACATTTTAATCTACCACTGTTATAAAAAAAAAAACTGGTAAAAGTGATGATTGGCACACACTTGCTTCCTGTCACTGAGACTTTAAAAAAAAAAAACGATTATTTGGACATATGTAACATTGCTATAGTCCAAAAACACTCATAAAAAAAAAAAAACATGCTTTGCTTTTCGGCAAAGAAAGCTAAAGTTTGTCTCCTCAGAAAAGTGATGTATTTGTACTTTTTAGTTGGAGGTAGAGGCAAGGGGGTACAATGTGTAAGAGACTAATAAGATGATGACATTAAGACCGGTTTAGGCTGTTTCACAGTTATTAAAAAACTAGGTGACAGTGAAGTCTAAAGCTAATAGTTACATTATACCTGTTAACAGCGTTTTAGAATCTAAAATAAAAAAAAAAAATAGCCTTTAGAATCAGTTACTAACTGAAAACATTTGTCCAAAAGCAAACTCTAAGGAATTCTCCATTCAGTGGGGCCTCAAGACAGGGTTTCTCATTCTTGAGTGATCATAAAAAAAAAAAAAGGGAAAAAAAATCCTATGAGTTTATGTTCACAGAACTCTGGGGAATCCCAGGTGAGAAATATTGTTTAGCATTAAAAAAATTAAATACTGACCCTTTGACGGATAACTTGGCACCACCCAATACACAAAGACAAACACAAGGACTGGCACTAAACCTGAGCACCAGTGTTCTAAGAGGTCATCTAAGGAACCCAAATTATGCTAATATTAATTTAAAAAAATTATCATTGAAGCATAAACATAAAATAAAAGTTCTTTTAGAACTACAATGGCCCCTGAAAGTACACCTACATGTTTCAGTCTGAGTAACACTTGCCTTATGGAAAGCTATTTATTAAAAAAAGTTTTTAATAAAATACTGTGCTGAACTTGGGGCCCATGGACCAATGGAAGAAATTTTTAGACAGTGTCCAGAGAACCTGTGAACTTGGATGACAAAAAGTTTATATATTTACTTTTACTATCCTTAACTAAAAAAAAAAAAAAGTATCAACTCTACCTGTGTCTTTGTCACTAATAGAAATCATAGATATTATTAAAAAAAAAACAGTGGTTACAGATGTCCCAAAATTATCACTTATGCCTATTACTTCTTTGAAAAAAAAAAAGGCATCAGACCCACTGTTAGACTGTATTATTTAATGTGTCAGTAAAGCAGCAAAAAAAAAACTACCACAGCTCTAATGTGTTTAATATTTTAACGTGTTTCAATATGTCCTTAAAAAAAAAACTCTGTATTTGATGTATTCATTTAAAAGCATTATTCTAAAAAAATTTAAAAATTTTTTTAAAAAGCATTATTCTGGCAAATGGTTCGTGGCACAGAAGGGCTCTTATACTAGAAAAAAAAAAGAATTGGGAAGTCCCTTCCTTGCCTTTTTCTTTTCAATATTGGCCTCAAAATGCAAAAATGTAACAAATAAGCAGTGAGTAATGTGTGGAAGCGTTGAATCACTATACCATGCACCTGAAACTAATATAACACTGTATGTTAACTACACTGGATTTAAATTTTTTTAAATGTAACAATAGGGAGGGGCGCCTGGGTGGCTCAGTCGTTGAGCGTCTGCCTTCGGCTCAGGTCATAAAAAAAAAATCCTGGGATCGAGCCCCGCGTCGGGCTCCCTGCTCAGCGGGAAGCCTGCTTCTCCCTCTCCCACTCCCCCTGCTTGTGTTCCCGCTCTCGCTGTGTCTCTCTCTGTCAAATAAATAAATAAAATATTTTTTAAAAATGTAACAATAAGGATACAATAATATTCTCATGGGCTAAAAAAAAAAATTTTTTTTTATTAAACAAGATAAAATTGTTGGAAAATTCACTAAGAAACTGGTTCTTTTTTTAAGATTTTTTTAATTTATTATTTATTTGACAGAGAGAGCGAGAGAGCACAAGCTAGGGGGAATAGCAGAGGGAGAGGGAGAAGCAGGCTCCCTGATGCAGGGCTCGATCCCAAAAAAAAAAGATCATGACCTGAGCTGAAGGCAGACACTTAACCAACTGAGCCAGCCAGGTGCCCCAAGAAACAGGTTCTTCATCAAAAACAAACCAACCATGACATTCATGCATATTATGTAAGCTTGTCTAGTTTAGTATTAATGATAAATTATGCCTAGTGTTTTAAAAGAAAAACAAGAAAAAAAAAAAAAAAGTTGGTATGAATATGCCTATAGTACATGCTAGGCTTTTGATAAGTTTAAAAAAAAAATCTTTGGTGTGCTCTTCTGATTTAAGTCTGAGATTTCCACGTTCATCTTAAAAAAAAAAAAACTGGCATAGGACAGACTTGATGGGAGAATGTGGATCATAGTCGATACTCAAAAAAAAAAAAAACTTTTGAGGTGTAGAATGCATACCTGTTTACCAATAACACTGCAACTGAAAAAAAAAATGCTGTTACTAATACAATAAACATAAGGTAGTTTATGAGGCAACGAAGTATGGCGGCTAATTTTTGGTGTAGGCAATAGAAAACCTGGATTCTAGGTTTGCCACTAGTAACAAAAAAAAAAATTGGCATGTCAATTAGTCCCTCAGGGTCTGTTATCTGAAAATGGATGAGTTAAAAAAAAAAGTCCTATGATCTGGGACACCTGGGTGGCTCAGTGGGTTAAACATATGACTCTTGATTTCAACTCAGGTCATGATCTCAGGTTTGTGAGATCAAGCCCCGCATCAGGCTCCATAAAAAAAAAATGGGATTCTCTCTCTTCCTCTGACTCTCCCACTCTCTCTCCCTCTCTTAAAAAAAAAAAAAAAATCCTACGATCCTATTAGAGTGGTACTGTTATATTTAAAATGCACGTTCAAAAAAAAAACTTACTTTGCATAGGTAATACTCAAATCCATTAGAAATGTATATCTAATTGAAAAAAAAAAAGGTACTATAATATCTTGAATCCGGACACGTTTTTCTCCCAAATTAGTACTAAAAAAAAAATCATTCCAATGGAGCCAGCGACCTCGGTTTTTCAACTACAAGAGAACATAAAAAAAAAAAAACAACCATGCACTTGGTATCTGAAAGCACTTTAATATACTGATATCATATTTGCTTTTAAAAACCTTAGTTTATCATAATAATAAAATCTTCTTATAGGAATAAGTTATCTAAAAAAAAAAATATAACATTTTATAGTCATGAAGTAAATTAATAAGCACCCATGAATCCACCACCCAATTTAAGAAACACACATTTTTCTTTGTATTGATTTATCCCTCTGCTTCAGTGCTATGGCTGCCATCAAAAAATTTTCCTATTTCCTGGCAAATTGTACACATATACAGCATGTGTCTAAAAAAAAAAAATTTTGCTAGTTTGGGTGAATGTTTCTTTAGTAATTCATATTCTTAATTTTTTTAAGTTTAAGCTTTCATTTCTATCAAAGTTATATATGCCCATATTTTAGAGTCAAAACTTTTAAAGAGGTTGAGAAAAACAGTAGTTTCCCACTCTTGTTTTCTCTTCTCCAGCAGCCAAAAAAAAAAAACCTCTTTAAGCTGGACATTTTGGGATTCATCTCCAACTCAAAGAATATGCTTGTGTTATCATCTCTTGATTTTTTGGTTTTAGAGACTATTTTATTGACTTCCCACTGTGAAAAAAAAAAATGAAACTCTCTCTCTGGTCGTATTCTTAAAATTCTGTATTAGCCTGGTGTAAAAAAAAAAATCTACACTGGTAGCCAGGAGAGCTGGATGCAGGTCTTGGTTCTGCTAGCCACTTGCCTTTCTGGCTTGCCTCTTTATCTGTAAATCCTGAGATTTAGGGAAAGTTGTACTTAAAAAAAAAAACAGATCTTATGTCTCTGTGATGTCAAATTTGCATGAATCAAATGATTATTCAAAAAAAAAATGTTTAAAAGAATCTTTTTGTGAATTTTTTAAAGTGGATAAAATAGATTTAAAAAAAAAAAGAAACTATAAAATAGTCCTAAAGAAAGTTTATCTACACTATCCACAAGTCAAAGGTGGAGAAACTAAAGAGATGGGACAAAAATGCCAACCACAGGGGTCAAAACAACATCAAAAAAAAAAACCAGTTCTGCCTGCTGATCCAATACTTGATGTTTTAGAACTTATCATAACAAGCATTTTATATCATACCTCATACATGTAGTCATAGACCAGACCTTTTTCATCAAACTGGCATTCCCATTTACCCACAGATTCAGGCACTGGGTTGTTTTCGTCTCTTCCCAGTATGATTGAAAAAAAAAAAGTATCAAAAATGATCCGACCGTCTGTATCACAACTTCCTCCAATGGACCAAAAAAAAAAAAATATAAAGCTAGCCTATTGGTTTAAAAAAAATTAATTTAAACTAATTATTTAAAAAAAAAATTTTAACAAATTAACTAAAATTTAACATATTAAGGAGGCCTGGTTAACATATTTGGAAAAGGCCAGGTCTACAGATAAAGTGGAAGAGAGCACAACTAAGACACAATCTAAAAAAAAAAAAATCTTAGCAGGCCACCTAAATGGTGCAGTGGGTTAAGCAGCTGACTCTTGATCTCAGCTCGGGTCTTGATCTCAGGGTTGTGAGTTCAAGCCCCACATCAGGCTCCATGCTGGAAAAAAAAAATACTTAAAAAAAAAAAAAAAATGAATAACATGCCCATATCAAATGATCTAGAAAAAAAAAATTTAGGAGTTTGTCCTTAAATACATTACCACCTGTAAAATGATGTATGCACAAAAAAAAAAACTGCAGCACTGTTTGTGCAGCCAAAAATAAGAAGCAACTTTTTTCAATAGGGGTCTGTTTAATGAGGTCATGTTATGTAGACTGGAATACATGCAGCTGTTTAAAAAAGTAACTCAATAAGTATACAGCTCTTGAACAATCTCCAAGATACAATGTGAGAAAAGATGCAAATAAAAAAAAAAAGTATGCTAAAGTGTAAAAATGTATTCATATAAAAGAGAATATGGATCAAAAAAAAAAAAAAGGCTACCTAAGGCACTGGTAACAGTGGTTTCCTTGAGGGTGGCTAGGGCATTGGTATGGATAGAAATCCTACTTTTGCCTTTTGAATTTTACTCTAGGTACAGGCTTATCCAGTTTAAAAAATCTATCAAATTATATACATATAATATAATCAAATATGTTTTTCTTTTCCTAAAAAAAAAATAAGTAATCTCTATACCCAATGTGGGGCTTGAATTCATGACCCTAAGATCAAGAGTCACATGCTCTACCGACTGAGCCAGGCTGGAGCCCCTCAAATATACTTTAAGAGAAAATTTTTAACCAGGTATCAATTTATATTAATCTTTAAAAGTAATTCTGAACCATTTAAAAAAAAAAAAAAAATAGGCTTACCAATAGAATGAAACTTTATATAGATAGAGATAGAGATAGAGAAAAAAAAAAAAGGTCATACATAGAGGTCTATATCTCTCTCTCTACAGATACAGATATAAAAAAAAAAAAAAATAGGTGAACTATTCCTAAAATGCTTTCATTTTATAAACAGGTAACACTGAAAAAAAAAAAACAATATTAAAAACTAGTTCTGTGAAAGGGAGTTCCAAACTTTGGGAGAAAAAAAAAAAAAAATAAATTATGCTTCACATATGTCTGTTCAGTTTCTTCTAATAACGGTGAAAAGGGAGCAGGAAAGGAGGTGAAGATCAGTAGGGAATGTGAGGTGTCTGAGGTAGAGGACTTTCTGTGGTGACAAGCTGAAGGAGAGACACTGGGAGGGAACCCCAATCATCACAGAGTAGAAAAAAAAAAAGACTCAGTAGAGAAGATGAAGATATTTCTGAATAAGGTGGCAGATGGGAAAAAAAAAAAAACCAGGGAAGAGAACCAAATACCTCTTTCCTCTGGCTCCCTTAGAGTCCTGTAAAAAAAAAATCTCTGACCCTAGACATTAGCTACCTAAACCACTGACTCCCCCTCCAGCGATGTGCCCTAAACCCTGATGGCAACGCTCCACCCAACTGGTTGGATGCCTGTTTCTGGTCTCAAAAAAAAAACTTTTAGCAGCCTACATCATGACTTAACCTTAAGACAAAATTAATTCACAAAAAAAAAAAAGATTAATATTAAGTCACCTTATTGTTTATCAAATTACGATCTTTCATAAACAAAAAAAAAATTTAGGAGGCTGGGTCACCTTTACCGGGCCGGGAAGGCAGGGGTTTGACTCTGGCAACCACGCAGGATGTGGTTCGAGATCCTGCCTGGGATCGGCGTCATGGCCATGTGCTAAAAAAAAAACAGCATAGCCACGGCACACATCCGCAGGTTCAATAACCGGGGCAAGGAAAAAAGACTTGCCTATTATCCATATCAGTGGAGTTTGATGCAAAGAGATAGGTGGGTCTCTGGAGTTAATCATTACTATGTGTCAAAGGGTTTGGAGAATATCAATTAAGGAAGCATTTTCCTGATTCATGAAAAATAACTCAGTCATACCCATCTACCCCTTCTAGAAGGTTATGCAGTGTATTAAAAAAAAAAATAATAAAAAAAAGAAAAAAGTAAAAAAAAAAAAAGACAGTTTGGTTTCATTAAAAAAAAAATTACTTTCTTTAAAATGTTTTTTTAAGTCAGAATACCAGGTCAGGGTGACTAAAAAAAAAACAGCTATTCCTTTGGTGCTCACCAAAAAACAGCTCTGGATCTTATGTCTCCAAAAAAAAAATTATCAATTCCAGAGGCGCATTTTATTCTGTAAATGAAAAATTACATTAAGTATAACACCTACCATAATCCAAACACGAATATGCTTGCTTGTAGGATCATTTTCCAGCACAAAAAAAAAAAGTACCTCAAAGAGGCGTGTGAGAGATACAACCACATTGCTATCACTTGTAGGAATCAGTTCCTGCAAAGTGAAAAGAGTAAGATACTTTACTTTCATCTTCTCTGGAGAATAAAAAAAAAAAAAAAAATTCATTTTTAAAACTCTCCCACCAGTCAGAATGGCTAGTATCAAAAAGATAAAAAATGACTAGTGTGGGTGAGGATGTGGAGAAAAGGGAACCCTCATGCACTGTTAAAAAAAAAACAAACTGGTGCAACCACTCTGGAAAACAGCATGGAGGCTCTTGAAAAAAATAAAAAAAAAAAGTCCCATGTGACCCAGTAATTCTGCTTCTGGGTATTTACCCAGAGAAAATAAAAAAAAAAAGTCAAAAAGATACAAGCACACCTGTATATTGCAGCATTAGTCACAATAGGCAAGATATGCAAGCAATCCAAGTTTTCATCGATAGATGAATGAAGAAGTGTGGTATATAGAAAAAAAAAAATTACTCATCCATAAAAAAAGAAAGATCTTACCATTCTCAATAACTTGGATGAAAAAAAAAAGTACTGTACTAAGTGAAATAAGTCAGACAGAAAATGAAGTTAATGGAATGAAAAAAAAAAATGGAATCATCATTCTGGTAGAAGGATGTTGACTGGACCAGAACAGCTCTATAAAAAAAAAACAGGTAGGAAATTACAAAGGTCAGAACTGAGGCTACCACAAGAGGAAGGAGAAAAAAAAAAGAGGAGCCTGGATGGGGAGGAGAGGAGAGGACAGACAAAAGTTAGCAAGGAAAAAAAAAAAAACAGATCCTGAGGACGAACTAGATGTGGAAAATATGGGGGAATAAATTATGAGAAGAAAATCCATCACTCATCAGAAAGATGGAGCCTATTTTCTATTATTTGCAACATATAAAAAAAAAATTTTAAAATTAAAAAATTGAAAAATGACTTTATATTTTCTCTATGAAGACACTGTATAAAATTTTTATAAAGTGGAATTCATTTTTTCTTATGTGCAGAATATTTTTCCTATAAAAAAAAAAGTATCTTAGGATGAATCTACTGAATACCACTCTTCCCTTCCCAATGTCAATAAAAAAAAAAATATGTAAGTGACGTGTGTGTGTGTGTGTGTGTGTGTGTGTACGTGTGAAGAAAAAAAAAAGTAGTCCCCAAAAAGAGAGGCCCATGTCATATCCCAGGAACTTATGAATGTAAAAAAAAAAGGGAAAGGGGTCTTGGAAGATGTAGCTAAGGATCTCAAGATGAGGAGATCAAAAAAAAAAATCTGACCCTAAATCCTTTTAAGAGTCACTGAAGAGACAGAATAGAGGCCCCAAAAAAAAAAAAGAAGAGACTGGAGTTAAGCAGCCAGAAGGCAAGGAATGTCTGGAAGCCAAAAAAAAAAAAGGTAAGGAAAGATTCTCCCTTAGAGCTTCCAGAGGAAGCTTGGCCCTGCCAACATCTTGATTTCAGACTTCTAGCCTCAGGACTATGGCAGAATAAATTTCTGTTGCTTTAAACCACCAAGTTTGTGGTAATTTGTTATGACAGCCCTAAGAAAGTAATATAACATATAAAGAAAAAAAAAAAAATACTAAATACACCTATAAATTTTAAAAGCCACATATTTAAAATACTTTTAAGATATGGAAAATGATTAGGAATTTTAAAGCTTTAGTCACCATAGTTTTATCCAAAGAGTTTAACAGGCATACATTTTACCTCTGGGTTTATTCAGGTATAACTTAAGCATATAAAACCAAAAAAAAAAATTACTATAATGGTGGTGGGAAAATCACTTTTAATTCTGCTATAAAAGTTAAAAGATAAAAGTATTTAAACAACTGTAAATTGTGTTAATGGATACATAATACAAATCAGTGTAAAAAAAAAATCAATAGCATATAAGGTGGATGGGAAAGAGGTAAAAGTGGAGAGTTCTTGTATACAAATGAAGTTATTAGCTTAAAATAGACTGTTATAACTCTAAGATATTTTATGTAAGCCCCTTAGTGCCACTAAAAAAATACCTATAGAAATCACACAAAAGAAAGAATCAAAACCTACCAATACAAAAAGAAACAAACAAACAAAAAAACCCACAATGAAACATAAAGGAAGACATCAAAAAAAAAAAAAGGGACAAAAAAACACAAGACAAACAGAAAACAGTTAACAAAATTGTAATAAAAAAAAAAACCCTATCAAAATTACTCTAAATGTAAACATGTTGTGGATCACATCAAAAACAAAAAAAAAATTGTATGGTGACTAACATAATAAAATTAAAAAAAAAAAAACATGTTAAATTAAAAAAAAAAAAGAGTAGCTGAATGGATAAAAATCCAAGATCCAATTGTATACTGTCTAGAAGAAACACATAGGCTGAAAGTGAAGGGATAGAAAAAGATATTCCATGCAAATGGTAACCAAAAGAAATCAGAAGTGGCTACATCTGTATTGGATAAAGTAGACTTTAAGTAAAAACTGTTTTTAGAGACAAAGAAGGTCATAACATAATGATAGAATGGTCAATTCAACAGGAAGATACAACAAAAAAAAAAACATATGCACTCAACATCAAAGCACCTAGGTATATAAAACAAATATTGACAAAAAAAAAAAAAGAAATTGCCAGCAATACAATAATAGTAGTGGACTTCGATATCCTACTTTCAAAAAAAAAAAGAATATCCAAACAGAAACTCAGAAAAGAAACGATAGATTTGAGCAACACTAAAAAAAAAATGGGCCTAGCAGATATATGTAGAACTTTTCACCCAACAGTAGAAGGAAACAAAAAAAAAAACAAGTTCACACGGAACATTCCCCAGGACAGACCACATGTTAGGTCACAAAACAAGTCAACAAATTTAGATTAAATTATACAAAGTATCTTTTCTGACCACAGTGGAATAAAAAAAAAAAAAAGTAAAAATAAGAAAATGGGAAAATTCACAAATATATGTATAAAAAACATGGAAAAAAAAAACACTGGGTCCAAGAGGAAATTAAAAAGGAAATCAAAAAATATCTTGAGACAAAAAAAAAAAGAAACACAACATACCAAAACTCATGAGATGCATCAAAAGCAGTACTAAGAGGGAAGTTTATAGTGATAAATGTTTACATTAAAAAAGAAGAAATCTCAAATAAACAACCTAAAAAAAAAAAAAAAGAACAACAAATAGAACAAACTAAACCAATAGTTAGCAGATTGAAATAAGAGCAAAACAGAAATAAAAAAGTAGAGAATAGAAAAACAATAGAAAAGGGGCGCCTGGGTGAAAAAAAAAATAAGCGGCTGCCTTCGGCTCAGGTCATGATCCCAGGGTCCTGGGATCGAGTAAAAAAAAAAGCTCCCTCCTCAGCAGGAGGCCTGCTTCTTCCTCTCCCACTCCCCCTGCTTAAAAAAAAAATCTCGTTGTCTCTGTCTCTGTCAAATAAATAAACAAATCTTTAAAAAAAAAAAAAAAAAAAAATAGAAAAAATCAAACTAAGAGTTGGTTTTTCGAAAAGATAAACAAAATCAATAAACCCTTAGCTAGACTAAGGAAAAAAAAGAAAGATTCAAATGAGTAAAATCAGAAATGAAAGAGAAAACATTACCATGGATGCCTGAGAAATAAAAAGGATCGTCAAGGGATAATTATAAAAAAAAAAATGCAAACAAATTGGATAACTTGGAAGATATGGATAAATTCCTAGAAACATACAACCTACCAAAACTGAATCAAGAAGAAATAGAAAGCCTGAACAGATCAATAACAAAGAGATTGAAGTAATAATCAAAAACTTCCCAGAGAAAAGTCCAGATGACTTCAGAGCTGAATTCTAAAAAAAAAACAAAGAATTAATACCAGTCCTTCTTAAACTCTTCCAAAAAATAGAAGTGGAAAAAAAAAAACTAAGTTCATTTTTTGAGGCTAGAATCACCCTGATACCAAAGCCAGTCTTTAAAAAAAAAAAGAAAATTATAAGCCAATATCTCTGAGGAATATAGATACAAAAATCCTCAAAAAAAAAAAAGCAAACTGAATTCAATACACCAAAAAGATTACATACCATAACCTAGCGGGAAAAAAAAAAAGGATACAAGGGATATGCAAATTAATCAATGTGATATACACATTAACAGAATGAAAGACAAAAATCACATGATCATCTCAATAAATTCAGAGAAAGTATTTGACAAAGTTCAACCACCATTTGTGATAAAAACTCTCAACAAGGGATGCTTGGGTGGCTCAGTTGATTAAGTGTCTGCCTTCGGCTTAGGTCATGATCCCAGGGTCCTGGGATTGGGTCTTAACATTGGGCTCCTTGCTCAGGGGGGAGCTGCTTCTCCCTCTGCCTGCTGCTCCCCCTGCTTATGCGCTATCTCTCTCTCTGACAAATAAATAAAATCTTTTTAAGAAACTCAACAAAATAGATATAAAGGGAAATAAAAAAAAAAAAATAGAGGACATTTATGAAAAACCCACAGCTAAAATCATAATCCATGGGGAAAAAAAAAAAGCTCTTCCTCTAAGATTTGGTATGAGGCAAGGAAGCACACTCTCACCACTAAAAAAAAAAAAGAAGTACTAACTAGAGCAATCAGACAAGAAATAAAAGGCATCCAAATCAGAAAAGAGGTAAAATGGTTTCTATTTGCAGGTGTCATGATCCTATATGTAGAAAACCCTAAAAAAAAAAAACAAAAACAAACCAAAAAAACCTTTTAGAACAAACAAACTCAGTAAAGTTACAAAAAAAAAAACCAAAATACAAAAATTAATTGCATTTGTTTACACGAACAATGATCTATCTGAAGAGGGAATCAAGAAAACAATCCCAGGGGTGCCTGGGTGGCTCAGTTGTTGAGCGTCTGCCTTCAGCTCAGGTCATGATCCCAGGGTCCTGGGATCAAGCCCTGCATCCGGTTCCCTGCTCCACGAGAGGCCTGCTTCTCCCTCTCCCACTCCCCCTGCTTGTGTTCCCTCTCTCACTCTCAAAAAAAAAATCAAATAAATAAGACGTTTTAATAAAAACAAACAAACAAACAAAAAAAAATAAAAAAAAAAATAGCATCAAAAAGAATAAAATACTTAGGAATAAATTTAACCAGGAACATGAAAGCTCTGTACACTGAAAACTATAAAACATTAATGAAAGAAATTGAAGAATATACAAATAAATGGAAAAACATCCTGTGCTCATGGATTGGAAAAATTAACATTGCTAAAATGCCCATAATACCTAAAGTGATCTACAGATTCAATGCAATCCCTATCAAAATTCCAATGACAATTTTTGCAAAAAAAAAAAAAAAAAATTCTAAAATTTCTGTGGAACCACAAAAAGACTCTGAATAGCCAAAAAAAAAAAAAAAACAGAGTTGAAAGTATCACATGTCCTGGTGTCAAATTATATTTTAAAAAAAAAAAAAACAAAACAGTATGTTACTGGGGTAAAAACAGACATATAAGCCAATGAAACAGAAAAAAAAAACCAAAATAAACCCAAGCATATACAGTCAACTGATCTTCAACAAGGGCAACAAAAAAAAAAAATGGGTGGCGGGGGCGGCACACCTGGGTGGCTGAGTCAGTTGAGTGTCCACAAAAAAAAAAGGCTCAGGTCATGATCTCATAGGTCATGAGATCAAGCCCTGTGATGGGCTCCACGCTCAGCAAGGAGTCTGCTTCAGATTCTCTCTCCCTCTCCCCATGCTCCTCCCCCCCTAAAAAAAAAAATTCTCTCTCTCTAAAGTAAATAAATAAACCTTAAAAAAAATAAAAGAATAAAAAAAAAAAAAAGGATAGTCTCTTCAATAAACAGTATTGGGAAAATTGGATAGCCACGTGAAAAAAAAAAAAACTGGACCCTTATCTTACACCATACACCAAAATCAACTCAAAATGGGTTAAAAAAAAAAATGTAAAAGCTGAAACCATAAAAATCCCAGAAGAAAACATGGGGGAAATACTCCTTGACACTGACCTTGGCAATGATTTTTTGGATAGGGCAAAAACTCAAGCAGCAAAAGCAAAAAAAAAATGGGACTACATCAAACTAAAAGTTCCTGCACAGCAAGGGAAATGATCAACAAAAAAAAAAAGCAACTTACAAATTGAGGGAAAATATTTGCAAACCTTATATCTCACAAGGGGTTAATATCCAAAATATATAAGGAACTCATACAATTTAATAGCAAAAAAACAAACAATCCAAAAAAAAAAAGGGTAAAGGACCTGCACAGACACTTTTCCTAGAGAAGACATACAAATGGCTAAAAAAAAAATAAGAAGGCATTTAACATCACTAATCATCAGAGAAATGCAAATCAAAACCAAAAAAAAAAACACACTTGTTAGGATGATTATAAAGATGAAAGGTGACAAGTCTTGGTGAGGAAAAAAAAAAAAGAGAACCTTTGTGCTCTCTTGGTTGGAATGTAAACTGGTACAGCCACTGTGGAAAACAGTATGGAAGAGCCTCAAAAAACTAGTAATAGAACTACTATGTGATCCAGCAAAAAAAAAAAAGGACATGAAATCAGTACCTCAAAGATATATCTGTACTCCCATGTTCATTGCAAAAAAAAAACCAATAGCCAAGATATGGACACAAACTGTTTGTTGATAGACAAATGGATAAAGAAATTGTCCTATAAATACCTATAATCGAATATTATTCAGACTTAAAAATAAAAGAGAGAAAAAAAAAAATGTAACAACATGAATGAACTTTAAGACATTATGATAAGTGAAAAAAGTCAGAAAAAAAAAAGAACAAATTGTATGACATCACTTATATGCAGAATCTGAAAGTTGAATGCATAGAACCAGAGTAAAATGGTGGTCACCAGGTGTGGGGATGTGGGGGTAACGGGGAGACATTGGGCAAAGGGCACAAAGTTGCACTTACATTTAAAATTATAAAATACTAAACATTTTAAAATGAAACCCAGAGAGACCAAACACACACCTGAGTACAAATATAACTAGGGGAATCTGAATAAGAAAAAAAAAAAGTATCAATGCCAATATCCTTGTTGTGATACAATATAGCCTTGCAAAATGTTAAAAAAAAAAGAAATTGGGTGAATTGTACGTGGGATCTATTATTTCTCTTACAACTGCAGGTGAATTACTGATTATCACAATAAACATCCCATTTTAAAAAGTGGATACCAATGTCTAAGGGGAAACTGATTTTAGTTATTTATCCTACTATTGTGACTTTAGACTTAGGTCAAGTTGAATGGAAAAAAAAAAAACTTGAACAGGTTAGAGAATTATAGTGTTACCTTGCAGTTTTTCTTACGAAGCTTTAAAGTGGGTTTTATTAACCAGCCAAAAAGTCCTTTCAGAAGAGCCTGATTATCTGAAAAAAAAAAAGGTCCTTTCAGGGAATTCAACCACGAGGACACAAGTGGTTCCCATCCTAAAAAAAAAAAATCCAAATAAATCATGCCACAGCGGCTTACGGTGGCCGGCTAGAGAAAAAAGAAAAAAAAAATTTCCAATGTTGCTCTTATGCCAGTGGCCGCTATCAACTACCTTGAATGACCGATATGGCCTTTCATGATCTAGCGCCTGTCTTCCTCTACAGCCTCACAGACATTAGACGAAAAAAAAAAAGTTACAGTTCCCCAGACATGTCGTGGCTTCAGGTCTTTACATATCATCTTGTTGTGATTTGGAATGCCCAGCCCCAACTATCTCCCTAGAGAAGCGTTAACCTTCAAAACCAAAAAAAAAAATCAGACGTTTTCCATGGTCCTTCTCTACCCATTCCCCTCTTGTATGCTCACCCCCTCCATATTCTTAGACTACTTACATGTAGCAGTATAGTGGGATTATTTATTAGCATGCAAAAAAAAAACCCTAAATACACTGTGTCTTATTCATCTTAGTATTCCTGGTGCCTAACTGGAAAAAAAAAACATAATAAAAAAATACTTCCTGACCAAGTGAACAGACAAACTACTGTTATATTAAAATATAAACTTACCGAGGCCTGGGAAAGGTCCATTGCTTCAAAGATGAGGCTCATCTAAAAAAAAAACTGAATGATTTCTCCACTCATAAGGCAAAGCTAAAGGCAATTATTTTTCAAATGTTTATTTTTTAAAAACTCAAACTTCTCAGATAAAAATTTATTCAATGTATAAGATAATAAAAAAAAAATGATATAATATACTAAGTATTAAAACAGAAGCCAGAAAATTGTAATTCTAGGTCTAGCTCTGTCAATTACTTACTAGGTAAGCAAATACATAACCTCTCTGAGTCTATGAACAAAAAAAAAATTTCTCCTCCACAGAGTTAGGCAGGAAGAGAAATACATGACATACTGCAAAAATCCGAGACAAATCTCAGTTCTTACTATTAATAAAATTACATGAAATACTCCTGACTTTAAAAAAAAAAAAGATCTCTTTATTAATGAAAAAGAGAAAAATTGAAAACAGAGAATAGTATGAAAAAAAAAATACCCAACTCCTGGATTGAACCAATGTTAACACTTTACCACATTTCCTTTGTTTTTTAAAACAGTATTTTGAAGAGCATTATGCATACCATGGCATTTCACAGCCAAATATGTCAATATTTATCTCTTAAAAGTAAGGAGTTTTCCATATGACCACAATAACTATCACAGCTAAAAAAAAAAACAATAACTCCTTATTATGTAAACCTCAGCCAGTACTCAAATTTCCTCAGTTAAAAAAAAAATGTCTTTTCCACTGACTCTTTAAACCAAAATTCAATCAAGGACCATGCATTAAAAAAAAAATGCCCCCTTGATCTCTTTCAATCTAAAACATTCCCCTTCAATCAAATATGTAAAAAAAAAAATTTATCAACTGCTTCCTTTTTGCCAAATTCCTTTCTTGTCCATTATTATTAAAAAAAAAATATCTTCTCAATCTCCTTGGCTTCTACCTTTGGAATTATCATTAACTTTCAAAAAAAAAAACAATATTATTGATATTCCAAGTTAATTTCATTACTAAATCTTCTTTTCAATAAAAAAAAAACATTTATTTTTCAGTGTTTCTTCTCTACAACCATCACTGTAGTCCCAGTTTAAAAAAAAAATAGTTATATGTCAACAAGGCAGCATTTAATGTTCCTGGACCTGTTTGTTATCTGTAAAATAAATGAATGGTCTAGAGCTGGATTGTCCAATATGCTAGCCAGCAGTCATATGTGGCTATTTATATTTAATTTTAACTAATTAAATCTAATTAATTTAAATAAGTAATTTAATCTTAAGTAATTAAAATTAAATAAAATTGAAAGTCAGTTTTTCAATTGCACTAAGCCCCATTTAAAAAAAAAAGATTTTATTTATTTATTTGACAGAGAGAGACACAGCGAGAGAGGGAACACAAGCAGGGGGAGTGGGAGAGGGAGAAGCAGGCTTTCCGCAGAGCAGGGAACCCAATGCGGGGCTTGATCCCAGGACCCTGGGATCATGACCTGAGCCGAAGGCAGACGCTTAATGACTGAACCACCCAGGTGCCCCAGCCCGATTTTTTAAAAGATTTTATTTTTAAGTAATCTCTACACCCAGTGTGGAGCTTGAACTTACAACCCTGAGGTCAAGAGTCACATGCTCTACTGACTGAGCCAGCCAGGCCACCCTGTACTAAGCCATGTTTCAAATGCTCAGTAGCCAGCCAATGTGACTAGTAGAAAAAAAAAAAGACAATGCAAATATTTCCATCATTGCAGAAAGTTCTATTGGACAGTACTGAAAAAAAAAACTTTTCATTTTCTACCAGATTATTTCAGCAAACATTCTCCTATTTGCTTCAAAAAAAAAAAGTGGAGTCAGTTTTCTCCTCACTCCTCCATGGGGTTTCCCAAATACTCTACAAAAAAAAAACTACCCCCTGCTCCTTTGACAACCATGCTTGCTGCTATCACTCACCAGCACCCAAGCATTCCCATCATTAGCTAAAGCCTTTGATACTTGGGGCTCAATTTCTTTCTCTCTGAAAAAAAAAAGGCCTGATCCAGTGTTCACGAGGAAGAGCATCTCAACATGGCAGCTGCTCAAAAAAAAAAATACCCTGTCTTCACTTACTTTTCTACTGCATTCCAGTCACCCACTTTATATACCTTGGGACCTTCTCTCCTGGAACACTACACAATTCTGAAGCACCAAATTCAAGCATGCCCGGCTCTGCCTGCAGCGTCCTATACATGCAGTGCTCTCACCCAGTGACTCCTACTACACTTGCTCTTCATTTGCATATCCCTGCTGTTTTCACTTCCCTCATTATTAAACAGCTTCTGTTCTATGGTCTAGCACTTTTGGCACTCTCATGCCAATATCTTTAAAAGTCTTTGTGTACTTCTAGAAAAAAAAAATCATCTACACTCACATCCAAGCTGCTTAGACCGTTAGGGAAAATCTCCCAAAAAAAAAAAATGGCACTACTACTAATCCTCAGATATGCTTCTATGCTTTCCTAGGCATCTCAAAAAAAAAATTTCCATAATAGGTCATTTAAGTCTTCCCCTTTTCTCCTCCAATGTGCAAAAAAAAAAAAACTACCACTTCACACAATCAATCAATCAATCAATCATAAAAAAGGGACCTGCAAAAAAAAAACCACTATCAAATCCCTCCATTCACCTATATCTATACCTACCCTTTCCTGCTTCCCTCTTATCCTCCCACCTGGCTCTGAATCAGATCCTTATTAACCCCTCTCTTACAAATCAATATTACTTCTTAGCTCAATCAATATAACTGAAAGAAAGAACATGAATAAACCATCAACCAAAAAAAAAATACTGGCATATTTGTTTGAATGCTAATTAATTTGCTTATTTAGTAGTGTAGTTATTTCATGTAAGTATGAAAATAATGATATATTCATATAGTAGAATACTAATGCAGACATAAAAAGAATAAATAAAATGGAATTACAACAACATGAATATCATAGATACCATACTGACCACAAGAAGAAAAACACTAAGGAGTATGATTCTATATATTCATGAAGTTCAAGAACCAGCAAAAAAAAAAAAAAACAGTAGAAGTCAGAATAGTGATTGCCCCTGGGAGAGGATGTACTGATTAGAAAAAAAAAAGAGCGAACCTTGTAGGTGCAAGAAATTTTATGAATCTTCATTTAAATGATAGTTATGAGAATGTACACATAGGTTTAAAAAAGCACAGAACTTAAAATTAGTCATTTTATAGTTTACATGCTATCTGTCAATTACAACAAATACTAGAGGATTTCCATTTTCTAGTTCTTTTGTATAGTTCACAGCTTCTAAGGTAATGTAGCACAGACAAGCACTGAAGCATTCAGTGTTTTCAAAAAAAAAACAGGCCCTTTTATTTCCTCCTAAAATATTAAAGTTCTGTAAGAAACCATAAGACTGGAGTCACTTTGCAACGTAACACCTACTACATTACTATGCCCTCCTGTGAACACAATAAAAAAAAAACACTTTTATTCTATTAAAAAAATTAAAAAGGATTTACTACAGCATAGTTTTCATTGAACAGATAATTTATAAGCTTATTAAACTTGCTGCATCCTTTACTTTAAATGTATAATCCTAGTCAATTAGTTGTTGAACACGTAACATTGCTTAAGGATATCTGCATCTATTTTGCTAAAAAAAAAACTGTGGCAAAAAAAAAACCCATTTTACATTAAATCTACCATATTAAGCTTTAAAAAAAAAAACAGTTCAGGAGTGTTTGGTATATTCATATTGTGCATCAGTTTTGCTTTAAAAAAAAAAAATTTTACCTTTTTATTGTCATCCAATACTGTGTTCATGCTCTCTATCCACAAAAAAAAAAAAGGACCATCGAATACAACCCATTTCCGGTCTGGTGTTTCTGATAAGGCAAATAAAAAAAAAATATTGGCCACAATACCATCGGTCCACTGGGGAAGAAAAGAGAATTGGAAAGAAAAAAAAAAAAAACTATAAAGTGATCATATTAAAAACATTTCAAATTTCTTGGTTTAATGAAAAAAAAAAGTAAGAGAATATTTATACTGTAGATTACCTCGTGAGACACTGGATCAAATTAAAAAAAAAATTGGCCCATAGTAATGGATTTGGGGTTTACAGTCCTATAAATGACCTTTTCTTCCTCTCTGTAGCCACGTTCATTCATAAGAGTTAGAGTATCAGCCAGTATATGTAGAACTAAAAAAAAAACAGCAAAAGGCTCTCCTACTAACATGAAACTATTAAGGAAAAAAATTATATAAGAAGATTCTAAAAAATAATGGTAAATGATTTGCCTGTATACTGGTGTATAAAATACTGGTATTTATAATTTTTGCAATTCTATGAATTTTTCTCAGACTTGAGGAGAATACATTTAACTTCTGAACTGGTAGATCTATAAAATTCTCTACATTAATACCATGATCTACAAACGAGACTATAAAAAAAAAAATCCAAATGAGAATGAAAACTTAACGGTACACTCTTAAGATTGAAAAAAAAAAAAAAAAAAAGGGACCCCCCCAAGGAGAGAAGTGGGAAAGGCTCCCGTTCCTCAAGTCTTTAAAAAAAAAAGTAATTCCTGGTTCTCTCTGCCAAGAAGTTCTGAATCTCCTCTCTCCCAGCAAAAAAAAAAATTCCTTGCCCTCTTGTGGAAATTCTACGTGACTAATGAGTAATAAGTGGAAAATATGGGTGTCACTTCCCAGCAGGGGACAAATCATTGCCAGTGAGGGAGTTTACAGAGCTCTCTCCTCAGAGCTTTTCCCTTTCGCACAGCAGTGACCCATCATGTTGAGACACTGGCTGCACCAACAACCTGGGACCCTAAGTAATGAGGATGAGCAGATCCTTCCTGTTAACCTGTAGTAAAAAAAAAATGACTAATAACTAAGCCTTTGCTTTTTTAAGTCAATAAGATTTGGGTCTTAGTGACTGATTGTTTCTAAAGAATAACCTAGCCCATACTTACTGACAGAAAACTGGTTCCTAAAAAAAAAAAGGTATTCTTGCCATAATAAAAAGACTTAAATATGTGGCACTGGCTTAAAGGCCAGGTTGTGGGTGACAAATTTAACTGTTATGAGAGGCTAAGAGACTGGCAATTAATGTTAAAAAAAAAAAAAACATTTGGTTAATTTGTTCCTTGAGGTTACTTGGAAGACAGATAATCTAAAAAAAAAAACTGCCATTTTAGGGAAAAGGATAGTAAACAGAATATTATTAGTATATAATGAAAAAAAAAAGCTACATTTAACAAAGAACTATTGGAAAGAAATGAGCCGGAGGGGAAAATGAAAAAAAAAAAAGTTGGAATGAAAGAAAATAAAGGGAGTTCAGAAATTCAGGAAGCAACAGAAAAAAAAAACTCATCCCCAATGAGTAAAAGATAAACTGAGAAAACCTTTGAACAACAACCAAAAAAAAAACCTGGCACCAAGGATCAAATTAAGGGTAGGGCTTGTATCACTATTAAAATCAAAAAAAAAATAATATGGTTCCCAGTAATCATTTCAGGAGTGAAAACAGATTAAGCTTGTGAAAAAAAAAATTAAAATTGATAGGTTCAAGGATACTGCAATGAAATTTATAAAGCTATGACAAAAAAAAAACTGTAGTGGTGGCTACTGGCATACAGAGCTGCTTAGAATCACACAAATAAGAAAAAAAAAAAGATTTTGAGGAAGTTTACTGACAAATTATGAGTCTAGGCTAAAACACATGCGAATGTTCAAGACTTAAAAATGATCCTAACAAACTGAGGGTTTTAGAGGGGAGGGAGTGAGGGGATGAGCTAGCCCGGTGATGGGCATTAAGGAAGGCACATACTGCATGGAGCACTGGATGTTATATGCAAACAATGAATCGTGGATCACTACTTCAAAAACTAATAATGTGCTGTATGGTAAAAAAAAAAACATAAAAAAAAAAAATGATCCTTCCTGGGGCACCTGGGTGGCTCAGCTGGTTAACCATCTGCCTTCGGCTCAGGTCATGATCTTGGGGCCTTGGATGGAGCCCCGCAGCAGAAAAAAAAAACAACAGCTTCTCTCGCTCCCTCTGCTCCTCCCCCCGCTTGTGTTCTCTCTCAAAAAAAAAAATAAAAATTTTTAAAAAATGATCCTTGCATGAGAGATGACTGTATTATTCCCTCTATTTTTGTATATGTTTGAAAATTTATATAATATGGAGTTGTTTTTTTTAAAATCCTGAAAAAAAAAAAAAATCATGACCTTTGAGACCTCAACTTTCTATAGGCAGGAAGCAGGCTGAAAAAAAAAAACAGCTCCCAAGGACATATTCTCTATTGTCCACTTCATATGTGACCAGGGAAAAAAAAAAAAATGGAAAGACCTCTCAAGAGAGTTGAACCAGTGTCAGTGTCCACCAAGAACAAAAAAAAAAAAAGCCCCTGCAAAATCATGCAGAAGTGGATCCAGGTTTTATGGGGTTTAAAAAAAAAAAAATCAGTGGAATAGGAAAAAATTATATATGGAACTATGGATACAAAATGTCCACAGCCACTTTAATGATACCCTGTATAATAAATTATGTGTATCAAGTGATTAGGACTCCTTGGAAAGGCCCCTACAAGTGAGAGGTGCTCAGGTTTAAACCAGCAGTTTCACAGTCAATTTATCTCTGAAACTGGGGCTCCCCAGTTACCCAGAATTGCTGGGTTTCAGAAATTCTGAAAACCCAGGTTTCAGAATTGCTACCAACCAGTGTTGGCTGGGTCTCCAGTTCTTCAATTTCTGGATGGTAGTGGTTGCTTTAATAACCTGTTCTAGTAAGCCCACTATTATAATTAAGACAAGAAGAAAAAAAAAAAAATCTGATGCAGAAGCTATCATGCATCACCTAGAGATCCTAAACTTCAAGTAGGGTTCATTGATTGACTAGAACCTTTAAGCTGTCTTCCAGGGAAGAAAAGGATGTGTTTTTTGTGCATGAAGAAGAGCAAATAACAAATTTGATGACCAAAAGGGCAAACTGTGCTGGTTGAAAAAAAAAAATCACTGAATGAGCATGCCTTACCAATCCTTGTTGGATGGGTAGCATGAGAGAGAAATAAAACTTTGTTTCAAGCGACTGGGATGGAAACTGGAGGATGACAGTCTTTGTTCAAAAAAAAAACTAGCATACAAAATTTGCTGAGTCCTTTGGTTCATAAATTTTAGTTGTTTTAATAGTTTGATTTGAAAATAACATCTAACTATGGCAGACAATGATAATCTATAATCTTACCAAAAAAAAAAAATCATCATCTCATATGTCTGAATCATTTTTTCAAGAAAAAATTTAACTGGAAAAAAAAAATGTACTTTGCAGGCTTCATGGGCACATTCCAAAAATTCCTAAAATAAAAGAAAAAAAAAAAGCATTTTTATAAAATGGTATCATAAATCATCTCATACATATCTTATAGACTTCTCATTTTGAAATAAAAAATCATTATCTTCCTATATTGATAAATTATTTCTTAAAGCTTTAAAAAAAAAAGATTTTATTTATTTATTTATTTAAGAGAGAGAGAGAGCACGAGCAGGGGGAAAAAAAAAAAGAGGAAGAAGCAGGCTCCCCGCTGAGCTGGAAGCCCGATGTGGGACTCGATCCCAGGACTCCAGGATCATGACCTGAGCCGAAGGCAGTCACTTAACCGACTGAGCCGCCCAGGCATCTAAAGCTTTATTTTTTAAAAGCTTAATTTTTTTAATTAAAAGGAAGAACAAAAAGAAAAAAAAAACTTTAAAAATATTATTATTCCCTATTACAAATTAATGATCAGAGCACCATAGCACTGGGTGCAGGCTGCATGGAAATTCCTTTTAATAGTGTTTTGCAGAATTTCACCCTTGGTTAGGATGTGGAAGGACATGCCAAACAATCCTTCACACTGTAGTAACTAAAGAAACGAAGAAAAAAAAAAAATAAAAAATTTTAAAGATAAAGAAGTTCTTTGGATACAAGTATGTCTAAAGGAAATAAATTTCAGAAAGGGATGTGCCTTTCTAGGTGAGCAAAAAGCAATGCTAATTTAGAAAAAAAAAACATTTTCCAGCTACAGACATCAGATGGGCATTGGATTGGGCCTGCCATAGGAAAAAAAAAATTGCTGAAATAAAGAGAAATCATCCGAGAATTTAACGGTCATCTGGGCTTGTGTGGCAGATTTGAATCTGGAGAAGCCTCAAATGCAAATCTGATTCACCCACTGCCTATGAAAAAAAAAAATGTGAGGTGACACAAGAAATCAAGGACTTAGCTAGAAAGGCACACAGATATAAAAAAAAAAGGATGCTTATATCCCAAAATGCTGCTAGAGGAATGGCCCTATATTATAGGAAAAAAAAAAATCTAAAGACGTGAAACCAGAGGTAAACTAAAGTTCAACAATGCTGCCACAAAACTCTGGCTTGGGTCAACTCCCAGCTGAATTGACCATCACTCAGTCTGGCTATCTGACAAAAAAAAAAAATAGTTTTTCTGTGGGAAAACAATACTTTAGCCTCTACAATTGTTTTATACAAAAAAAAAAACACAAAAACAAACTTCACAAGTCATGATGTGAAAGAGCTGAAGATCAAGAGAAAAAAAAAAACTCCCAGATGACCTAGATGTCATAATCAGCAGAACAATAAAAATAATTTCTATAAATGTTTAAGAGAAAACAGACAATATGATAGAAAGCAGATGAAAAGATGAAGAATTTAAAAAAAAAAAAATGTAGTTTTAATGAAACCAGATTGGACACATTAAAACTAAAAAAATAAAAAAAAAAAAATTAATAACTCATCAGCAGACTGAACAAAACCAAAGAAAAAAATCATTGATCTTAAAGACAGGCCAATAAAATGTATCCAAACTACAGCACAGAAAAAAAATTAGTAAAAACAAAAAAAAAAAGATGTGTGAGGCAATATAAAATTGATGTGGGAAACAAAGGCAAAAGAAATGTAACTTAAAATCTCCCTACAGGGCGCCTGGGTGGCTCATTCATTAAGCATCTGCCTTCGGAAAAAAAAAAGATCCCACGGTCCTGGGTTTGAGGCCCACATTGGACTCCCTGCTCCGCTGGAAAAAAAAAACTCCCTTTCCCACTCCCCCTGCTTGTGTTCCCTCTCTCACTGTGTCTCTGTAAAAAAAAAAAATAAATAAATAAATCTTTTAAAAAATTAATAAATAAATAAATAAATAAAAAAAAAAAAAAGCTTGCAGCCCACTGGTACCTGAAACATGTAGAGCGTGACCTTCCTCAAGGAGCTTGTGGCTGCCTTAGTGCCTTCATGTTTAAAAGTAACCTTATCTCAGCAGCAGCTACCCCTCAAGGTCCTGAAAGCCTTGCTTCCAGATTCCTTGGAGACTTGCACTATCCCTAACCCCCACTAATTAAAGTATACAATCAGTCACTCCTCACAATCCCAGTATAGCTCTTTCTGCCTAAGGTCCTGTCCCATGAATAAGGAAGGGGTTAAGGTATAGTCCGAAGAGATAGGAGGTCCCTGAACCCCCAGACTAGGCTCTGAAACTACTCCAGGCAGATGGAGACACTGAGACAGAGCTGAGAAAAAAAAAAGGGAACAAAACAAGACAGCACAAGCTTCCCAATCAGTTCTCAATAAAAGACTGCCACTAAAAGCCCTCAGTGGCAACCCATTCAGGGCCTCTCTCACTCTACAGAGTTTTTTCTTTCCTTTCTGTTTTCACATTCACTTAATAAACTTTCACTTCACCTCACCCTTTTGTGTCAAAAAAAAAAATTCTTTGACTCCATGAGACAAGAACCTGCAAATTCTGCAACAAAATGATCTAACATACATTTAATTGGAGTCCCAGAAGGACCAGGGAGACAAAATAGGGCAGAAGAAATATTTTGAGATAATTACTGAGAATTTTTTAAAGACATCAATCCACAGATTCAATTAGTGCAGCAAAAAAAAAAAAGATAAGTACCAAACACCACAAGGCACACAGGCAAAGAAAAATATTAAAAAAAAAAAAAAGAAAACACACGTTAAATTCAGACACACATAAGTAAGAAAAATACCTGACTTCCAACCATAACAATGAGAGCCAGGAGTTAATAGAAATAACATCTTTAAAACAATGCAGAAAAAAAAAAAAACCCCTGCCAATCTAGATTTCTATATCTAGTGAAAATAATTCTTGAGAAATTAAAAAAAAAAAAAGACATTTCAAACCAACAAAAGCTAAGAGAATTAGTTGCCAGAAGACCCAAAAAAAAAAAAGAAATACTGTAGGAAGTTCTTTCTCTTGAAGGAAAAAGATCTCAGATGAAAAAAAAAAACTGCTAGAAAGAATAAAAAACACTAGAAAAAGTTAATAGAAAGGACTTTTTAAAAAAAAAATACCAAAAGCAAAAAATAACACTGTATTGTGGAGTTTATAATATGTAGAAATAAAATACATGATAACAATAGTACAATGGGCAGGGATGAGTGGATAATAAAATAACACCATAAAAAAAAAATACGTTGTTTCTGAAATGATGAAATAGAAACTTAAGGTAAATTGTAATAAGTCAAGGATAAATATTATAACCTGTGGAGTGACCACTGAGATGCTAGAAATCCAACAGAGAAAAAAAAAAAAGTAATAAACACTATCTGAAACCCAAAAGAAGTGGAAAAATAAAGGAATATTATACATATTAAAAAGCAATATGACATAGGTTTTTTCAATAGCCCTGGCTCCCCTTGGCTCATCTGCTGGTGCACTGAGTCACTTGGCCACACACCTCACAGCACTGACTCCTAGTAGTAGTTTTCAAACTGGAAGCTGTGGATCCATGCATTGATTGCTATATTCATAGGATAAGAATTCTCCAAAAAAAAAATAAAGGTTCTGTATTTTCATTCTGATTTTTAAAAAGCCTATTAGCATACCCAAAAAAAAAATGATAATTACCTGTGGTATAATATAAAAATATATATGGTCTTGATTCCCAGTCCCTGGCACAGGGCCCCTATAACCCTTAAAATTTCCTGAGTGACAAGAATATCTTTGTTAAAAAAAAAAAGCCCTTGTCAATCACCCCCAAGTTGGTGCTGATGAGGCGACTTGGGGCAGGAAAAAAAAAAAGCCTCAAGATGAGGCCAGTCACAGGAAAGACCCAGTGTTGAGAGGGTTGGAACTTTCAGCCCTACTTACCAGCCTTTGGTGAATGCCCTGGGGTGGGGGAGGGAGGAAAAGAAAAAAAAAATGAGCTCTGTAAAAACTCATGAACAACAAGATTCAGAGAGCTGGTTTGGTGAAAAAAAAAAAGTCCAGGGAGAATGACATACCCTGAAGCATGCTGCCGCCCACCCATACCTAAAAAAAAAAATACATCTCTTTCCATTTGGTTCTTCCCAAATTGTATCCTTTATATCTTTTAAAAAAAAAATAAGTAGGATCCACACCCAACATGGGTCTTGAACCAACAACCCTGAGGTCAAAAAAAAAAATGCTCTACCACCGAGCCAGCCAGGCTACCCCCGCCCCAGCCCCAGGTTGTAAAAAAAAAAATAAGCATAAGTAAACTGTGTTCCTGAGTTCTGTGAGCTATTCTAATGAATTAAAAAAAAAAGGTGGGGAGGTTGTGGAAACCCCAGCCAGTCAGAAACATAGGTGGCCCAGGACTTGAGACTGACTGAAGTGAGGGGCAGTTTTGTAGGACTGAGCCTTTAATCTGTGGAGTCAAAAAAAAAATACCTGAAGTTTGTGTCAGAATTGAATTGTTGAACATCCAGTTGGTGTCCAGAGAAGAGAACTGGTTGTTGGTTTTGGAAAACACCCTAGAATCACATTAATCTGATACCGCAAAAAAAAAAATATTAGCATTTGAGTTTGAAGGTTTAAAATTTTTAAAAAAGGCTAAAAAGTAAATGATGCCTTTAAGCGGAGTGATGCCTTAATGATATAATAGCTCAAACAATTTGAAATAAAAAAAAAAATATCAATAGAGAGATGGGGTGGAAGAATTGAATCATCAAATGGAAAAAGGTAGTTTATACATGCTGAACTCAAGAAGTATTCACTATACACACCATAGAAATTGCCACTATAAAAAAAAAACAAATTATGGAATCAACGCAAGTATCCCCGATAGATGAATGGTTAAAGAAGAAAAAAAAAAACACAATGGAATGTTAGTCAGCCATAAAAAGGAAGGAAATCTTGCCATTTGAAAAAAAAAAGATGGAGCTAGAGAGTATAATGCTAAGTGAAATCAGTCAGAGAAACACAGATACCATATGTGGAATTTAAGAAACAAAACAAACGAGCAAAGGGAAAAAAAGAGAGACAGAGAGAGAGAAACAAACCAAGAAACAGACTCAGACCTATAGAGAACAAACTGATGGTTACCAGAGGGGAGGTGGGTGGGGGGATGGGTGAAATAGGTGATGGGGATTCAAGAGTATACTTATCACGATGAGCACTGAGTAGTATATAGAACTGTTGAATCACTCTATTGTATACCTGAAACTAATATAACACTGTATGTTAAATACCCTGGAATTAAAATTAAAAATTAAAAAATTTTATCTTGATTTTACATTACATAACAGTTATTAACAGCAGACACTTATTCTTATGTGTATATGTATGTATATAAAAAAAAAATTTAATGTCTATAATTTAGATGAAATTGGAAATGCACATGGTTTGTTTCCTCTTTAAAAAAGCATATTACTTAAATATGAGAAATCCTTATGTGAACTATAGGATGTTTTGCAAAAAAAAAATTACCATCTTTTCTACCTGCTAGAGTACACAACAGAATTACAGTACACATTAAAAAAAAAATTAGAAATCACATGATAGGAAATAAAAGTACTCATTCTCTTAGAAAGAACAAAAAAAAAAATCTGAATCTTGTTAACATTGGTATCCTATAACAGAAGATACCAGAATTTACAAAAAAAAAATAATGAAAGTGGCCAAAATAGGGGTTTATCCTCCAAATAGAATAATTTAACGCATTTAAAATGATTGAGGCATCAGATAAATTTATTTGCAGAATAAGTCATTCTCACAGGTAAAAAAAAAAGATAGTCAGCTTCAGGAAGTTTAATACCAGGAAATAGGTCACTAGTTATTCCATTAAATAAGGGTATATCATGTGACAGAAACTTCGGTTCATTTACATCTTTAATTGACCGAAGAAGCTAAAAATCATCCAAAAAGTGCAATATAAGTTACTTGCCCATATTCCCCACACTCAAAAAAAAAATAAGTCAAAGTTCCTCTCACATTGCTCTATGGAAGCCCCATACTAAAATGCCAACACTACGCTTATCAAGCCAGAAGGTCCTTGGATTCATATAAAGTATAATGAATAACATAACCCCAAAACTACTACTTCAACCTCACATAAAAAGGCTCAAAACCAACAACTCTCTTATTAAAAAAAAAATAGCTCCTGATCAACTTTCCTAAAAAAAAAAAAAAATGTATCTTGTACTGAAAAAAAAAAAATGTATATATTTAACACTTACCAGTATATCTTCATTTTCATTTGGAAATTTTAGTTTTAGGTTTCCAGCAGCCACTAAAACTGCTTTTACTGCTCGCATTCCATAGTCATAATGAAACTGTGACGAGAGCTGTTCTGAGCAAAGCCTGTAGGTCATCACTATTTTCACAGACAGAGGTTTCGCATTCAAAAATCCATAGGAGTAGAGGGAGATTTCTGCTATGAGGGCATAGTTAAAAAAAAAAATAGCCACAGTTCTAAAAAGAACCTGAAGTATATAACAAATGAAATCTATTAAAAAAAAAAATTATTACAATTAAACGGAAACCATTTTTAAAAGCTGAGCACAAGCATCCCAACAGAATGTGGTGATATTCAAGCTTATTCCCCTAATGCAGCACATTTTCATTAATTCTGTAATTTTTTTTCAGTAGCACTGTAATGGTTTCATGTACTTTAATATGCATTAGATGCCTAAAAAAAAAAAAAGAGTTTCACCTTGTAGATAATGGCAAAGGTAAAAGGGAGATTTACAAACACAAAAAAAAAAATTATACCATTTTAAGTGGATTGTGCTGTTAGATTTAATTAAATTTACACTCTTGCAAGATATTACCTTAAGATTGTCTGGTAATTCAGAACGTCCCGCATAGCCAGGGTTCAAAAAAAAAACTACAAAGCAGTTTGGATTGAGCTTAAGTTCTGTCCCTTCAAAAACAAACTCTTCCAGCTTCTGCTGAATGGCTCTCTGAATGCAAAGGATCTGTTGAGCTACCACTGATAAAAAAAAAAAATCAATCCGATTAAATTCATCAAAGCAAGCCCAAGCACCAGAAGAAGCCAGTAAAAAAAAAAACTAAGAACAAGGAAAAAGGAGGTGAGTTTTCTTACTAATGGGCATCATTTGTTAAACAAATATTTCATCTTTTAAGTCAAAACTGAAAATGAAGTCCAAAAAACCCCCAAGAAAAAAAAAAATGTCTTTACCCCTAAAACTGAGGTTCAAGCAATGCATAAACATTCAAATAAAAAAAAAAAGTTTCAGTTTATCCAGTTGGACCTAGCTGTAAGTTTATAACATTCAACATGAAAAAAAAAATTTCCCATTGCTAGATAATCTAGCCCATCTGAACAGTTGAACACCACACATTGGACAGCAAGAGCTTTAGCCAAGTCCTTCGTGGTTTCAGTTTTTCCTGTGCCTGCTGGCCCCTCTGGAGCTCCTCCGAGGTTCAAATAGAAGGCACCTATCTGAAGAGAAAAATATATGTGAAAAAAAAAACATGCTTAACTGAAAAAAAGGAAAAGAAAAGAAAAGAAAAAGAAAACCTATAAAAAAAAAATGCTTACAAAATTGACTTATTCTTATTTGTAGCTTCAAAGGAGCAATAATAAAAAAAAAAACTTCAGTTAATTTTTAGCATGCACTTTTCCAGCTGCACAAGGAAAAGTGTATTATAATACCTCATAGGTATCCCATTTGCCTTTACAAACAAAGAGAATCTAGCCTTGAGGTATTGACATTGGGTCAGAAAGGTTTGATTAGAGATGGTTGTGGGGACAGTTGTGGAGATCATTAATGACAATCTCTATGGCTATCTGCCAAGAGCCAACACCTGCAAATGAGTGTTGTAAATGGGGGCCCATCAGTTGGAAGAGAAACAGATGACCTATTACAAAATTTTGCTCAAAATTCACCTGGCTATGGTACTCCACTCATGGTATGTTTTCCATTTTCTCCATTCCTACAACACTGTTCTATACTTCTCTTACTGGCATGATCACTTTCAACCTTGCATTACACTTAAATTTGTAGACTGTAAAAAAAAAAAATTAGTCTTTAAGCTGCTTGAGAGCAATGTCACCAATTTCTGAATTCTTTAAAAAAAAAATGAAGGACTAGAACAGTGGCTGGAAATTTTTAGAAGCATATAAATTACAGTAAAAAAAAAACAACCATGGAGTTTCTTTCAAGAAAACTGGTATGAGAGTTAAGTATGAAACAAAAAAAAAATTAGAAAAAAATAGAGTTAAGGGACCAAGGTTGTACATATGGTACAGGTAAGGCATACATGGGAACTCTCTGTACTTTCTGCTTAAGTTTTCCGTGAACCTAAAACTGCTCTAAAAAAAAGTCTATTAAAAAATAGTTTAATAAAGGGGAGGAGCAAGAGCGCGGAGGAGTAGAAAAAAAAAATTTCATCTGGTCCCAGGAATTCAGCTGGATAGGGATCAAACCATTCTGAACAAAAAAAAAATCAACAGGAGATCAAAGAAAATAGCAGCAACTTTCTGAACAGAAAAGCGACAAAAAAAAAAAAGGTAGGACGTGCAGAGAAGTGAATCTGAGGCCATATTTGGGAGGATAGAAAAAAAAAAAGGGGGCCTCCATCAGCCGCTTCTGGCAAGTGATAGAGCCCTGGAGCACAAAAAAAAAAAAATTAGAAGTCAGCTCTGCTGAGGGACGTCGCTCCAGTGGCTAAGCGGGGAGTGGAACACTCGCTGGGACAGTGTGGTCTCAGGACCCTCGGGGTCACAGAAAGACCAAGGGCGAAAAAAAAAACAGGTATCAGAGTGGGGAAGCCGGCTGCAGAGACGGAGCCAAGTTGCGGGCAAAAAAAAAAGGGTTGCCATAAACCGTGATCCGCGGCACAGTCAGGCCCCTGCTCCTCCAGAAAAAAAAAAACAAGCGGCAGATCCGGGGAGACTCCCCTTCCTCCCCCGGGAGGAGCGGCGCGGGAGCGCACTGCAGGGATCTGCTGGGTTTGGAGACTCCACACGAGTCGGGAGCCAGAGAAAAAAAAAAACGGTCACAGGCCGGGTGAGCACGGAGTGCGGCCGGAGACCAGGGAGAAGGGAAAAAAAAAATGCTTTTCTCTGGGGGCTCACCGAGGAGTGGGGCCCGAGTTCTCAGCTCCTAAAAAAAAAAAATGGGAGGCTGTCACTTTCATTCTCATCCTCCAAAGCTGTGTGGAAATCTAAAAAAAAAAAAAAGCTCCCAAGAGCAAACCCGCGCATATTACTTAGCCCAGAGCGGCAAGAAAAAAAAAATTCCACCTCCAGCAAAAACATTTGGGAACCATGGCAACAGGCCCCTCCCCCAAAAAAAAAACAAGAACAGCCAGCCAAGACCAGTTTACCGATCAATGAGAATGGCAGAATGAAAAAAAAAAGGGAATACAGCACATAGAATCCATGGCTTTTTTCCCATGATTCTTTAGTCGTTCAAAGTTAATTTTTTAAACTTTCTTTATTTTTTTCTATTTTTTCTTTGAATTTCTCTTCAAAAAAAAAACAACCAACATCTTATCAATTCCTTTTTTAAAATTTTTTTTAATTTTCATTTTTATAGCCATATTCTATCCCTTCATTGTATTTAACCCCATTTTTTGTATACATATGTTTCTCTTTCTTTGAAATTTTGGGATACAGTTTCTTCTAACAGACCAAAACATACCCGAAATCTAATGTATGACGTTGTCCTAGTCTCCCACCTGATCACATTCTCTTTTAATTTTTTTCATTCTTTTTTCAACCAACTTCTTAACAATTCCTTTTTTAAAATCTTTTTTAATTTTCATCTTTACAGTAAAAAAAAAACCCTTCATCGTACTTACCCTTATTTTTGTATATATATATGTTTTTCTTTCTTTAAAATTTTGGGAGGCAATTTCTTCTAACAGACCCAAATACACCCAAAATCTACTGTGTGAAAAAAAAAAATTCACCAGCCTGATCATATTCTTTTTTTTTTTCTTCCCCTTTTCTTTTCCAAAAAAAAAAAGGTCTCTTCTGATTTGTTTAGTGTATATTTTTCTGGGGTTGTTGTTACCCAAAAAAAAAATGTTCTCTCATTCATCTGTTCTTCTCTGAACAAAATGACAAGATGGAAAAAAAAAAAAAAAAAAAAACAAAAAAAAACAAAAACAAGAGGCAGTGTCGACTGTCAGGGACCTAAAAAAAAAAGACATTAGTAAGATGTTGGAACTAGAGTCCAGAATGACGATTATAAAGATAAAAAAAAAAATTGAAAAAAGCATAGAAAATACTAGAGAATCCCTTTCTGGAGAAATAAAGGAAAAAAAAAATAACCAAGTCAAAATCAAAAAGGCTATTAATGAGGTGCGATCAAAAATGGAAAAAAAAAAAGCTAGGATAAGTGAGGCAGAAGAGAGAATTAGTGCTACAGAACACCAAATGAAAAAAAAAAAAGAAGCTGAGAAAAAGAGAGATAACAACTACTGGATCACAAGGGGAGAATAAAAAAAAAAAGTGATACCATAAGGCAAACAACATTAGAATAATTGGGATCCCAGAAGGAGAAAAAAAAAAGAGAGGGGCAGAAGGTATATTGGAGCAAATTATAATGGAGAATTTCCCTAAAAAAAAAAAAGAAACAGGCATCAAAATCCAGGAGGCACAGAGAACCCCACTCAAAATCATAAAAAAAAAAACAACACTCCGACATCTAATAGTAACACTCACAAGTCTCAGAGACAAAGAGAAAAAAAAAAAAGCAGTTGGGACAAGAGGTCTGTAACCTACAATGGTAGAAACATTAGATTGAAAAAAAAAATATCCACAGAGACCTGGCAGGGCAGGAAGGACTGGCATAATATATTCAGAGAAAAAAAAAAGAAAAATATGCAGCCAAGAATATCCAGCTAGGCTGTCATTGAAAATAGAAGAAAAAAAAAACTTCCAGGACAAAGGAAAACTAAAAGAATTTGTTAACACCAAACCAGCCCTAAAAAAAAAATTGAAAGGGGTCCTCTAAGCAAAGAGAGAGCCTAAAAGTAACACAGACCAGAAAAAAAAAAAGACAATATACAGTAACAGTCACCTTACAGCCAATACAATGGCACTAAATTAAAAAAAAAAGAGAGTTGCCCTGAATGTAAATGGGCTAAATGCCCCAATCAAAAAACATACAAAAAAAAAATGGATAAAAAAA